AATGCTCCCTCTACCAAAACTACCCAAATGCATCACCTTACACTTAACATGATTGGATGGCATATGAGACAGATAAGCTTAGTTCACTAATTGCTTTAAGTCAAGTTGAACTTGGTTCACGAAGTCGGTATTCTTCGACGCATGTACCAATTTAGCTTTGTTAGCAAATTTAAGCACCGTACCCTGTAATCCTATCTCAATATTCTTCACAAAAATAATAAGCAGCGAAGAGCTCCACACAGACCTCTCACTGTGGAACCTCACTCTCTACTAACTTCCACTAAGATTTAGCGCCAATAAGCACTGCTCTTTGTTTTCTGTCTAGCAGCCAAGCCCTGACCCAACCAATAATTTTTCCCCCAATGCCATACAATTTCATTAGTGTAACAGACGCTGGCGTGGCATCTTGTCAAACGCCTTGCTACAATCTAGATGGACGACATTTAAACTATTGCCTTTATCTATCTGATAAGTAACATGCTCCATGGACTTTAGAAGATTTGTCAAACAGGACCTGCCAGAAAAGTCATGCTGACTACTCTGTTTCAGCTGATCCCTACTTAAGTGTGACTGGACGCTATACTTAATGAACTTTTCTAAGATCCTGCACACTAGTAATGTTATGCTGACAAACCTGTGGATGCCGACACTTTTTTGGTCTCCTTAGATATCTGTACTGCAATGACATTGCACCAGTCATCGGGCATAAGACAATAAGCTTAACTATTAGCACCTTCATTCAGCACCCTACCATTTATCTAGTCAGGTCCGGCCATCTCATTGACCTTGATTTCCCGCAAGCTACCCCTAACCATACCCTCGGTTAACGTCACATTTACAGAACTGCCCTCAGCCAAGTTATCACTAATTTCAGGGAAACCATGCAAATTCTCGGTTGTAGAATGTGAACAAAACTGGCTGCTAGGAGCATATACAATGTCCCTGTATTCCACTGATGACTTTCCATCTTCCTCGAGGAGGCCAACAGTGTACCCCTGAGATTTGGATTTGAAGAAATAAAAAAGCAAGTGTCTGCTTGCCGTAATTTTGACACTCCTTTGGCTACCCTGATTTCCCCGCTCAGCTTATTTGTGGCAATCTTCAGGCGGATGCCATCCATGGACTTTGTCATAGGTCAGGTTTTCGCAGGATTTGAACAGGACGATGACGTCACTGGTATTTAGATTTCGATGCGCCGGCCGCTAGCCGTGGAGCGCAACGTCTCGGGACAGCCGAAGCGCCCCGAATCCTCGTACAGATAATGAACAAACTTTATGGGAGGTGCATGTGACCAGCATCCGATACGTAGAACTTAATATGGCGAGTATAATAATGTGCTTGTGGCAGGTTCATATGCCTAACGGTGCAAATGCAACCAAAGAAAAAAGGAAGACGTGCTCGCGTGCCGTGCCGCATTCGAGCGGGCCGTTGGAGATACGTAACCTGGACATCGGGATACCTCCTTACCAGAAGCAAGTGTTTGTAGTTGACATGCGTAACTGGTAGTTATGCATATCCACGAACCAACCAGGCAGACTTAAAAGGCATGCATGAACATGTGGTTTGCGAGCATTCAGTATAGCCGTTAAGGTTCAATCGGCGCAAGAAGTGAATACATCTTCGCAAGGGCGTGGGTAGTAGTAGAGAGAGACAAACCCGGCTTTCTTAAAATTTGCATGAATCCCATTGGCGTTGACTGATAAGAAGTGACCAAAATGGCTATCCTCCCCCCCCCCCCCCGCTCTCTCTCAATCTCTCCTAACTTAGTAGGACATCCGGTGCCCCTGGGCCTATGCGGAATTAGACTAACGTTTTACGTTGAGCGCTGATCGTATATTTGTTAAAGAAGTTAAGTAAGTAGGACTGCGTTACGAGAAGCTGTATTAACAAGGGAAACCTATCTCTTGTCACGATGTAACAATGTTATCGCGGAAGGCTGACAAAATGTCGATCAACGCCAAAGCAGAGCCATGCATGAACCAGGCTCACACAGGTGCGCATGGTACGCGTAGGACTTCGTAGACGTGACAGTCTGTGTCCATATCATCGTGGCTTGTGAATGGTTGTGGCCAAACAAACTATGCTCATCGGTGGAGCAAGTGTAATTACTGGAGCGCTCTGCCACGCGTACGAAACACACAGGGATGCATCAGATGAACAAAAAAAGTTTCTGGCCAAAAAGAAGAAACCACAGACCCATATCGTGCTCTGCGCCTCAGTTTGGCTATCTATAATTATGCCCGCACGCCATTTTGACGTTAAACGTAGCACCACACATAAATGCCTCAAGAATGCACCATGTCTGACTCAGCCCTCGCGGTGACTAAGCAGACAGACAGGGACGGGGCACTGCCGGCCCCGCACACAGATGGGGACCGAGCATGGCCGGCCTCGCAGACAGGTACAGACCGAGCACAGAAACATAAGCGCTGGGCAGGTACGGACCGGGCGGACAGAAATCTAAGCGCTGGGCAGGTACGGACCGGGCAGACAGAAATCTAAGCGCTTGGGCGGGTACGGACCGGGCAGACAGAAATATAAGCGCTGGGCAGGTAAGGACCGAGCAGACAGAAATATAAGCGCTGGGCAGGTACGGATCGGGCAGACAGAAATCTAAGCGCTGGGCAGGTACGGACCGAGCAGACAGAAATCTAAGCGCTGGGCAGGTACGGACCGAGCAGACAGAAATCTAAGCGCTGGGCAGGTACGGACCGAGCACGGCCGATCCCGTAGACAGCATACAGACCGATCACGGCGGAATGTAGACAGACACGGACCAACCAAGATGCATCTGGCGCATCTAGCGCAAAAATAACCGCAGCTTACAACAGACTGATCACGCTCGCCACTCACTCGCACCACCGGCAGCGGCACGACCACGGGGTGCGAGACCGTGTAAGACTGAAGTACATTGTGAAAGCTGGCCGCTTAAAAGGAAAAGGATAGGCTACAGCTTATGGCTTAGCTGTAGGTTGCCATGTAATCATCATATCAGCCGCTAAGTTTGACGCCATCGGCTCGCTGGTAATATACATCTGCTACCAACAGTTTGTTGAAACGAAGACACATCGATGTTCCTGCCGGCCTTTCGCGAACAAGTCTTGCATGCACGTCTCAACCTTTTAGGCCATCGCATTCTAATGGTTCCCCGCACGGGCTTGCAAAGCAATTGTCATGTTCGCCATAAATTCTGTGTAATCGGCTGGCTGGTCATATGCACCCTCCGCCAACGGCCTTTGCATGATGTGCACGAATATTTCGTGGACGTCCTAGCTAATTTGGAAGGCATACCAGATGAGCGTCGTCTTGTGCTTGTGACCTGGGCGCCGCTGAAACTGTATAGAGGTATGTGTAGGCATGCTGCACCTAGCTTGGAGTCTGAAAATGCTATGTAATGCGCTCATGCCTGTAGGTTATTAAAATCAGAAGTGATCTTGATCTATGTGATGTGATGGAAATTGCGGAATATTGGCCAAAATAATTGCGATATAACAGGTATGATATGACAGATATGATAAGCCCTGCATGTTCCGAACATAAGGCAAAATTGCATTCCCAAAGGACAACAAGCTGAGTTGAGTATCTAACCAGCACCTGCTAATGACAACTAGGTGCGTATTTTTCCGATGGAAATCAACCGATTTGTAAAGCTAAGATACTCAGATGTACCAAACTTGCTGTTAAATATTCGAGAATTTCTCAATGTGGAAGCAGATTGGCACTGATGTGTTTGCTGTTTTTTTTTCTGGTAAGGTAGACCAGACCAGATTGGACTGAGAAATCTGGAAAAAGAGGATTGGTGGGGTGACTGGGATCTGGACTACCAGGACTAGACTGGACCAGATGCTGAAAATTTAATCCGTAAATTGCTGCACTACACATTGACTATGCTGGCCAGATTTTCGCTGGTGACCTGTGCTACCACTGGGAACAAGTTTTTGACCTTGGCTCCAGGCCTCGTAAAACATTTCCTTCCTTTCCTTCCCTTGCAGAGAACCGTTTTTAGATGTCTCACTCAGGAGTCTCCTTCAACCACCACATCTGCTTCGCCATCACTGTTACTCTGGCCTACCTCACCCCTGCAATCATTCTGTAGTGCCTCAGAGCTATTCCTTATCGGCACAGCTGCATTCTCTACATTTACACGAGAAGGCCTTGATCCTGTGTCCTCAGTCATGCCTGTAGCTGAAATGTTCTATTCATAAGCTAGTCGCACTGTTTCATTATTCTATTGCTGGCGACCACTAGAAGACAACAACAGCGAACAAACCAATTGGTGTTGATTCATGCTCGAAATCGCTCTCAGAAACTTCCGAGGCGTTCCAAACAAGATTCCGGGGCGATCTAAATTACCTAGGGCGAATGAGGCCCACTGGGGGATTAGTTGACGGCTTGAAGCATTACGTTCAGTCGCAAAACACGAATTAGGCGTGTGGAAAATAGAAACAACAGGAACGGAAAGCTGGGTTTCCTTTCATTTAGCAGAGTGTTGGTGTAGTTCGCACTACTTCGCGCCGCCGGCAAGGTGATCTTGAACGCTCGAAGACGCAGTGGCTGCTATAAATTCAACTCCAAGCGCAGGGCAGTCTAAAAAATGCACCACAGGCCTTGAAGACAAGAAAACGGATGATAGACAAGAAAACATGAACACCCATTTCACGATGTCAGCGATCGGCGACATCTACAAGGTATAATGGTGGCATCGTGTATTTATCTCTCACCATGTCTGACATGTCATCAAGCAAGGACGGGTGCGGCATACACATCCAGGAGGGACTCATATTTTACGTGTCATGGCAAGCATAGAAAACAGAGACTAAGACACCAAGTCTCCGTTTCACGTCTTCTCGGGAGACAACATGATCCCGTTGAGCACTTCGTCGGAATCCGACCTGTCACCAGGTCTCAAATTCCGCGATGTTTGTACCCCGCGATACTGACCTGGCGTGCCCACTCTGTCGCCGGGTCACGATCACCCACCACATCACCTGCACACTCACCATGTCAACGAGGTTGCAGAGGGCGAGCAGGATGTTCATGCTGACGACCCAGCTGACCGTCCTCGTGTTGGAAGACTGCACCACGGAGCTCAGGGAGACCAGCCAGCGGGGCATGCGCTGCGGACCCGTCATCAGCCAGTGGCGGTCATCAATCACCAGACACCAGCCACCAGACCCGTCACCAGTCACCAGTCAGTTGCCAACGTCACCGGCTCACGGACAATCAAAGCACGACGTAGCTGTCCGCGTAGCCTCCAACAATCTCCGTTACAAAAGATCGTTTTCCCCGCTAACCAGACCTTGCCAAGTTCACTGCGGTACCTTAATTAATGATTCGGGCTGTGTCGTGCGCGTTTGGCATGAAGATGTTAAATCTTCTTGCAGCAAACATCTTCTCAAAGCCGGTAAAAGCATCGGCCATAGTTCCAAGCATGCTACTGCTGCTGCCGCTCTGATTCCAGGAAGGACCTTTGCAATGAGGTACTTCCGTAAATTGTTTTGCCACTACATCTTGCAATGGGCAAGGGGTTGGCGTCCAACAAAGCGGCTCACTGGCGATGGTGCGAGTTACAATGCTTTGTGCTTGAAGTTTTGACCGTGAATGAGGGAAAATGCGATACAAATGATTTAAGTGTCTGTGAAATGGCGCTTTCTTCCCTAGTATGAAATGCATCATTGTTCATCGCACAGCTCATGATTTGTGGCCCGCTTGGGCGTGCTCGAGTGAGTTTATTTGTCACGTGGATGAACGCTCGTATTAACTTATGGAACGCCGAATCAGTTTCATTTATAAAATAACACTACATTTGTTGCCAGTAGGCGGCGGTTAATGGCTCATGGATTCTCGGCCTCGGCGACCTTTGTCACGGAAGGACGTAAGGTGAGATGGCAGCTCTCACAAACATCGGACTCCTCTTCCAGACAAGGAGAGTACACGTCGCAGTCATACGGACCACCCGCTCTCGCTGCGCTGAGGCAGCGTGCGATGGGAGTGATCGGAGACAGCACAGTGTGTTAGCGGTTTGCGAAAGTTTGGTATTGACGTTCATAAGGAGGGTTTGCTCTGGGAAAGACTAAATGCTTTGATTTCAGAAGCCGGCAGATTTTGAACTACGCGTTACGATCCGTGGCGTTCCACGCTGAGTTGTTGGGCTTCGTGATCTGGTTCCCAGCTTCAGATCGACCGAGGTGCCGCATGGTGCTTTGATTTTAATTTTACCGGACCCACTTCGCAGGATACGTGCAGCCGTATGTGTGATACCGCTCATGTCGCGCTCACTGCGTATCTACCCGAGAGGACGCATGCAGTGCACTCAGGTGTGCATTGCATGCGCCCTCTCAGGTGATGTAATCATGAGAGCACCGTTCCATCACATGATGTGATGGAGCGGCGCTCTAGCGCGAAGTGCCAGGCGCAACCTTCCCACGCCGATAATTCTCGTCACGTGGTGGAGTCAAGCAGCTGACACAAACACCACGCGACGAGAAGTTCCGTTCGTGGAACACCTCAACAGATGTCGTAATGTTGACTTAACAGTCAGAAATGTTGCTCAGGTGTTTGCCGCACTAGAATAAGCACCGACATTCGGTTTAAACGAGATAAGTTGCAATCCATAGCTGAGGCCTTTTATCTTGTTTGTAGGCACCAGTGTCAAATGTCAGGAACGGGAGCGCTTGCGGCAACCTGAACTGTACTGACCTTTGTCCATTGGGCTGGTAAGATAAATAGAGTCATGATCAGCAGCAGCAGGACACCCGCGAAGAGAGTGGTTACTGTGTAGATAGTGCTGAAAAGAAAACATACACTGTTTGAGAACAAACATTGATTTGAAACAAACGCCAGATCTAAAACAGCACTAGATTGCAAGGATTCCATGCCTACCACAAATAGTAGCGCAGCATAAAGCCAAGTTAGCCATTTAGCGGCCTTTTCAGCAAAAGCAGACCAGAAAATCATTGAAGAATGATCGTGACAGCTAAACAATGGTAGGTCAACGGACTTATACAAGGGTGAACATTATTCTTAGTTGTCCCTGACTACATAAAATTGGTTGATACCGTTTCAGACAATCCAGTATCCTTCCAAACTCAGTTACAATGTAAAGAACACCGAAAAGAAGCTGTATGATAATACGTCAGACGAGAGGGAGCTTTGTGCTCGTTGTGATTGTCGGGCCGCCCCGATTTTCGTTGATGTTCACACGCCTGTATTTGTAATAAATTCAAAATCATATCCGGCTGGGGCATTCGTCATTCGTTGCTGAAATTCCACACAGAAGCTGACTACCTGAAGATTTACCAGGCCCGTCAGGTCACCTGGAATCTGTTTGACCTGTGGAGGTCTTTCAACCGCCAAGCACGGTAGGAAGATGGTTGGTAGACGTACATACCTACACATACCTTTCAGAGAATTTTTGTTGCCAACGGCAGGGAATAAATCCATCGCAGGGAGCCCAACTGCAGTATGCCTTGCCGTATGCATGTATGCACGCGTCATAGCAAGCTTGCAAGTATTTGGCAGAGTGGGACAAAAGAGCTCGAGGCAACGAGTCTTGGGCAGAGCACAATCACTCATAACCAATCACGACCAGTACGGCCCGCTACGGCTTCGCTACCCGCGCCATCTACGCGTAGTGTAACTTCTACGATTCTGAGCGTGGCACAGCTTCGGCCGCTCTGAGCGTAGCACAACTTCGGCCGTTCTGAGAGTAGCACAACTTCGGCCGCTCTGAGCGTAGGACAACTTTGGCTGTTCTGAGCGTAGCACAACTTCGGCCGCTCTGAGCGTAGGGCAACTTCGGCCGTTCCGAGCGTAGCACAACTTCGGCCGCTCTGAGCGTAGCACAACTTCGGCTGTTCTGAGCGTAGCACAACTTCGGCCGCTCTGAGCGTAGGACAACTTTGGCTGTTCTGAGCGTAGCACAACTTCGGCCGTTCTGAGCGTAACACAGTTTATGGCTGCTCTGGGCGGAGCCACCGTCCGAGCCCAGACCAGCCTCCTGCGTGAGGTAATTGCTTCCGAGTGCTTGGTAGTCTGGCGGCCGTGTCTCTCGCTCTCCCCGGAGGGCGTGCTGAGTGCTGAGAGGTGCTGGCGGCCGCTCCGCGCCGGGGGAAGCCGACACCGGACAAGCACGCTCGCCGGGAGCGTGGGCAGGGTCGCGCTCAGGCGCACACCCCGGGCAGCGTCGGGCAACAGCCGCCGGCGCGGGTGTAAGCTGGTCCGACACCGCACACCAAGCCACCTCGAACACGCCTCCGCGGCTCCGCTCTCGCCCGCGGGGAGCTGCCGTGCTCTGACCGGCTCGGGCGGTGCATCCGACAAGCGACGCTGCGTGCATCCAGCGACGAACTGCCGGTCTCCGAGGAGGCCAATCGGCGGCCCGCAAACCGGCAACAGGGACTGGCTGCAGCAGGTCAATTTACAACGGACCAGTGTGGAGCCGCACACCAATTTGTCAGCTGTCGTCGAGTCTAGACGGAAGCGGCAAAAAACCTGAGGCAAACCTCCTGGGTAGACGTGTCAGTGGCCTGTTTGGCATGCTGAACGATTAGCTGTGCACCTAATAAGGTGTGTAATGAGCTAAGTGTGACGTGTTGGTGAACCGCGCAGCAACCCAGACGGTCGGTTTGCATTGCGCTGTGGAGTTCCTTGGTAGCTCGCTCGACGCCGGTGAGATCGGCAGCGCGCTGCCTGATGAGCTGTGACGGTGAGTGGAGCGGTGAGCTCGTGAGTCCCGCGGCGTCCAACGCACCCGAGGCCAGTATTTACCTCGACGGCGCCTCCTCCGCAGCCGCGTCATCGATCGAGCGACGCCTCCTCGGGCCGCCTCGAGCGGAGCCAGCTCAGCCGGCGTGCCGGCCGTAAACAGTGAGCGACACCTAGCCGCCGTGGCGTCCCGCCCCGCCCCACGCGCCCGCACTCTGGCCCTGTTGACCCTCGGCGGGGTGGCCGAACGCCCGCGGCGGCGGGAGCCGCAGGGTCCCCGGGGTCCACCGGGGGCTGATGGGGTCCGTGCGACCGTGGCGCCGGCGATGAAGGGCTGCAGGCGGGGATATGAGAATGGCGCACCGACGGAGCGGCAGAAGTGGGGAGAGAGTGTTGGCGGTGAATGGGAGAGGCGAACGAAACTCCCGGCTCGCTCCAACAGCGAGAGGAGCTCTGGGATGGGGTAAACGGAAGAGAACATCGAGGCTAAACTGGAAATGTGAATAATGGAACGTCAGAGTGAACCGGAAGGGCGAATGAAACGACGGGGGCGAACGTTGTAAGCAAGCATAATCTGATGATAAATGACAGGATGGATTCCAGCGTCAAGATAATACTACAAAGACGCGTTTCAACCAGAATAAACTGAGAAAAATGCGCGGTAAACGAAGCTCACCATCAGTGCATACTTAAGAATGCTTTGTTGGCCACAGCACTGGTCACCGTTTGCATATCGGGTGAGACCGACGCTCCACGGTGTCGCCCCAAAGGACTCGGTATATATTACCTTGAGGCGTGTTCAATACTTCCCACAATTATGACCGATGGTAACGATGGGTTCCGGCGCCATTACTGGACCATGTACGAGTGTCGGGTGGGGGCAAGGGACGAGAACCAGCGGGTGAGAACCATGATATGAGAACAAAAACAGAGGTAGGAGATGACATCCCATGTGCAGACCAAGGGACGAAGCCAGTGTTGATGTTGCCATCAGGTCTTTTGTTGGATGTTGGAAAAGGACGGTACCTGGAAACGAATGCTCTCAATACTGCGTACGCCACACAGAGGCATTCGTAACGCGGCCCAGCATCCGAATACGTCTTCAGGAATCCGGCTCGGATTCGGATCCAGTTCGGAATCGGATCGGATCGGGTTCGGCCTCGGATCTGGTTTATCATCATGCCGGGCATCGGTGTCAAATCCCGAGAAGCCGTAGCCGCGACCACGGCACCGCAAGGTCGTGAGGTAATGAGGACAGCGAGACGGTGATGGCCGACATTCTCCTCGACGAAACGAGGAGCTAACGGCTTCCGAGCGTGCCGAGTGACGAGCTGAATGTTACAGGAGCGGTGTCTTGTGTCTGAGGTGGTAGTGCTCAGACTGATCGTGCTGCCGTGACGCTGGGGCGGATGACTATCAGGGTGATGACGCCAGGTCCTGATGGTACCGGAGGTGATGGCGCACCACGATGACGTCCCTCCCGTGATGACGCCACCTCTGCCTGGGCGCGGTGCTGCCCGAGATAGCGACATCATGTCCTGACGGGATGCGCTGCAGCGTGGCCTGAAGCCGGAATGCCCTGCCTGGACGCGGTGCTGCCCGAGATGGTGACATCATGTGCTTACGGCATGCGCTGCAGCCTGACCTGAAGCCGAAACGCCGTACCTGGGCTAATGTGATGTCGTACCTCATTTGATGATACCACCGTTGCTTGCCGGGTCGTGATGACGCCATCACGTACCTGGGCGTGATGATGCCCTGGCTGATGGCGTTAAATGAGAGGACGATGGGCAGACAGATGGCGCTGAGACCGTACGTGGGCTCGCGGTTGGCCCGGTACTCGCGCTCGATCTCGTCGTCTGTGAAGTGCAGTGTAAACCACCGCACGTGCGGACGAAGGTGCCTGCCGGGAGACGGCGAGGTCAAACATGTGAAGTGAAGTGCAGTGTAAACCACCGCACGTGTGGATGAAGGTACCTGCCAGAGGACGGAGAGATCAAACATGTGAAGTGAAGTGCAGTGTAAACCCCCGCGCGTGCGGACGAAGGTGCCTGCCGGGAGACGGCGAGGTCAAATATGTGATGTGAAGTGCAGTGTAAACCACCGCACGTGTTGACGAGGGTGCCTGCCGGGAGACGGATAAATCAAACATATGAAGTGAAGTGCAGTGTAAACAACCGCACATGCGGACGAAGGTGCCTGCCGGCAGACGGAGAGATCAAACATGTGAAGTGAAGTGCAGTGTAAACCACCGCACATGTGGACGAAGGTGTTTTCCGGGAGACGACGAGGTCAAATAAGGTGGGTACAATTGTGTGACGGCTGGATACCACTCGCAATAATTCTCTGCAACGCGCAAAGTTGCCCAGTCTATTACTGTTTGTGGAATGAGGACGGCGGTGTTAGATATAACTGAGAGTGCCTTCCACCAGTATGTTGAAGACCATACGTTTGTCATCCATATAACGATCAATATTGTAGAAATGCACTGAACGCAGCAGCACTGCATTTGAAAACGCCGTTGGGAAGGCCAGTCATTTTTAGACCACGGTGCTGGTGGTCATAGCCATGCTATAGCGACAGGTACACGATAATTTCAACGATAACGTTGTCATGAGTTCAGCCCAAAAACTGTCCTAGCTTTTTGAGCGATTGGACAGCCAAGACTTGCATCAATAACAGTGCTGACAAAGCAGTACATCAGCGCTGGTGTATAATTGATCCACGGTTTCAAACACGCAGTTCATCGCGTATGAGTTGACACACAGATGAGCGGGTTCCTCCGGTGCCACGTGAACTGGTGGGGCCTGCAGCGTCGGGCCTTCTCAATAATTTAGGTGAGGGAACGTTTTGCCGCTGCAGCGCAGGTGCGTCCTTTGCGGCAAAATCTGTGCACCCAGCAAAGTTTTAAATACCTCAAAAACGGTTAAGCCAAAATCAGATGGCACATCGGCTCATGAGCATCTCAGGCTAGGCAGGAAGGGGCACATACCGCACATTGTGCATTCAACCTCAATTTACTTCTTGTAATTCTCGTAGTTTTGCGAGATTATCACATATTTCGAGAGCATGCACACGCGTGGCTTCCATCGAACAAGTGCTGGAGAGTGAGCTGAGATGAAGGTGAGCTACAACATGAGGCCTGATCATCCTTCGCCATCACGCACACACACATCCACGCCTCGCACACGTACGCATAGAGTCATGCCAAGAGCACACGATTTCAAGCCCCCAACAGGTAATAACCATTATGGGGTGGTGGGGAGGGGTGTAAGGATGTTCCGACTCTGCTCCCTTTGGCGCAGTTCCACAGCATATGTCAATTTTCCAAAGCTGAAACCATTCACTCCTCGGAGCGGAGTCACGGCGAGTGGACAAGCTGCGAGAGGGGAGGGGGTGGGGTGCGGTGGGGGGGGGGAGGGGCCACATCTACAACGTTTGTAACGTTTCACAGTAGGCCTATGGCATTGCATGGAAGAATGGGGCCCAACTATCTCCTCTGCACCGCCACGAGACACAGGGGATGATCGTCTCTTATTATCTTATCATCGTCATGACTTGAATATCGTCGTAATCATCGTCATAACTTTCTCGTCATGTGTTTATCATCGCCATGTCGTTATTATCGTTGTGTTTTACCATCGCCGTACCTTTATCGTGATGCCGTCATGCCTCGTCATGCCTTTATCACTGTCATGTTTTCATTATCTTCATGTCTTGATCATCTTCATGTCTACCATCGTCACATTTGTATCGTCATGCCTTCATCATCGTCGTGTTTCATGACTAGCCGACTGACTGCCGCCGCTGAACTCCGTGGTAACTGTACCAGCCAGAGCATCGCCTCGTCGACTTGCGTCCTGCCATCGCCTGGCCGTCCCGTCACCCACGCCCTGCCATCGCCTGCCCGTCCCGTCACCTGCCGTTCCACCGCCTGCCCGTCTCGTCACCTGCCGTTCCACCGCCTAGCCGTCTCGTCACCTGCCGTTCCACCGCCTGGCCGTCTCGTCACCTGCTGTTCTATCGCCTGGCCGTCCCGTCACCCACGTCCTGCCATCGCCTGCCCGTCTCGTCACCCGCGCCCTGCCACCGCCTGACCGTCTCGTCACCTGCCGTTCCACCGCCTGGACATCTCGTCACCCGCGCCCTGCCACCGCCTGGCCGTCTCGTAACCTGCCGTTCCATCGCCTGGCCGTTCCACCACCTGCCGCTCCGTCGCCGACACCTGCTGAGAGCCATGACGGCGGCACGGCCAGATCCAATCCGACGATCAGCCTGGCGCTCCCGGCGGGACCCAATGACCCCTGGCCGACACGCCAGGCTGTCGCGTGTCGCCTCCGGCGTCGGCCCGTTTGATCGCGGCTGATAGCACTCACCGGGGCGGCGAAGGGGACGGGGGGGGGGGGGGAGGGAGCTGCCTGCGCCGAGAATGGCGAGCTCGTCCGTGCCTGGGATTGGGAAGCCCGGCAAGCACTTTGCTTTGGGGCTACTCCTTCCAGATTTCGATACGGGTAAAAACCGAGCGTTTTTGCGCTCTTGCAGGTGAAAATTGCGCTCGCTTCTTCTTTTTCGCCCGGGGATCATGCGAAATAGAATCAAGCTTTTAGTTAAAAGGAAAGAGAGAGAGAGAGAGAGAGAGAGAGAGAGAGAGAGAGAGAGAGAGAGAGAGAGCGAGAGAGAGAGAGAGAGGAGAGAGAGAGAAGAGAGAGAGAGAAGAGAGAGAGAGAGAGGAGAGGAGAGAGGAGAGATAGAGAGAGAGAGAGAGTAGAGATAGAGAGGCGAAGAGAGGAGAGAAGAGAGAGAGAGAGCGAGAGAGAGAGGGAGAGAGAGAGAAGATATAGAGAGGACGAGAGAAGATGAGAGAGAAGAGAATACTAGTAGATAGAGGAAGATAGAGAGATCGCATCTTGATTATCGTAGCACATTAGCCGTCTCCCAAGAATGTCCAGATCATCAGCCGGGCGTTCGAGGAACAAATTTAGCGCACTACCATTGAAATAGTTGCCTGGGGGAGGGCACCCGAAACGCATCCATCTTCCGCGCTCCTCAATCGGTTACCGCCAACGGGCCTGGCGATTTCCATAGACCATGCGGCGAGCGGAAACGAGCCATCGGGGCGGTCATGTTATACGGACCAGACTGGTCCAGAAGTGCAAAGCCTCGCCCTGATTCGCTGTTTTTCAAAACGCGGAGGGATACGGGGATTGATGCGGGTCACCTCCGGTGTTTAAAAACTAATCGAGATAGAGTTTAGCGGAAACCATGCCTTCTGGCGGCACAACACTAAAGCAGTCGTATCTCTTGCTCAGTTCGGAGCACATGGCGTTCTTCATCAGTTTGAGCAGTGATTTATGATAAATGGCTCCGTTGGTGTAACATCGCCGGCCCGCCACACGCCTTTCGCGGCATCGCGGTTGGCGCCCTCCGCCCGCTCGGGTCTTAGATCGTAGCACAGTGTTCCCAAATGCGCCACGGCTCTGAAACCACAAAAGCCAGGAAATATTTTTGGCGGCACAACACGCGCAGAAAGATATGCCCGTGGACCACTAAAAATTTGGCGCGATTGCACTATGTGCCGGAGGGATATCCTCAAAAATTATTAGGGGCATCAAACCTTATCAGGAACAGTTGATTTATAAAGGAAACTTGGTGGCATGGATGCGTCAAACTGACTGCTCGCTTAACTGACATTAGATCCGAGACCTTTCTCAGCATAGCATGATATATGGATAGTTACAGCAGCACACCAACAGTTATTGTTATGTGTGTATCGGAGCCGGGTTTTCAGCTACGAAAAACCGGGCCCGAACGGCCAGCATTTTCAGCAAGAGGTAAGTCTATTATTTTCTGCTATGGTTGTTTTTTCTGGGTAACTGTGGCGCAGAGAGCTCGTGCCTCCGCGTTCTGAAGTTTTGCGTTCTCTGCGAAAACCAACGCTAGAGGCGAGGCGACGAGGACTCGCGGACACTTCAATGTACACAAGTTGCTGAATAATGAAAATTGAAAGTGATCTTGAGCGATGGTGCGACACCGAAAGTAACAGTGAGGGTCGAAGCATAAATCTGACAGCTAGCGTAATAGCACTTGACTGGCAGCACAGAGCCCTACGGATTACACCACTGCACGGACCATACGTATTTCATACAGAATGCTCGGAAAGCCTCTGTAGACCCCAAGTCGGAAATTAAATCGCCGTCAAAGCTCAAAAACTAGTTTTCTCGGTTAGACGGACTTAGAACGGGACGAGTTGCATACGTCATTTCGGCTCAACAATAGCACGAAATTGCGTTAACTAAGAACAAAACACATTGAAAGGCACGTATCGTCCTGCGACAATATCTGTGACGGTCAGCGGTCATATGACGGTACGTGTGACGGTTGACGGTCATATGACGTTACGTGTGATGGTTAACGGTCATGTGACGGTACGTGTGACGGTCGGCGGTCATGTGACGGTGCGTGTGACGGTCGGCGGTCATGTGACGTTACGTGTGACGGTTAACGGTCATGTGACGGTACGTGTGACGGTTAACCGGTCATGTGACGTTACGTGTGACGGTCAACGGTCATGTGGCGGTACGTGTGACGGTTAACGGTCATGTGACGGTGCGTGTGACGGTCGGCGGTCATGTGGCGGCAAGTGTGACGGTCAACAGAGGCCAGGCTTGCAGCTGCCAGCCGCATTACTGGACGCTGGGAAATCTGAGGTCGGGCCTCACCGCCAAACTGCGGCACCGAGTGACTGGGGTCACTGACGTGCAGTACTGAGAGACTGGGGTCACTGACTTGCGGCACCAAGTGACTGGGGTCACTGACGTGCAGAACTGAGAGACTGAGGCCACTGACGTGCGGCACCGGGTGACTGGGGTCACTGACGTGCGGCACTGAGAGACTGGGATCACTGACGTGCGGCACTGAGAGACTGAGGCCACTGACGTGCAGTACTGAGAGACTGGGATCATTGACGTGCGGCACCGAGTGACTGGGGTCACTGACGTGCGGCACTGAGAGACTGGGATCACTGACGTGCGGCACCGAGTGACTGGGGTCACTGACGTGCGGCACCGAGTGACTACGGTCATTGGCATCCGGCACTGGCCAAGTCAGGGGCATTGCCAAGCACATACATCATATTATCTATTGTACATCACAATACATCAGTTTATTTCAGGGTACGCCAACAAGAGAAGTTGCTGCAACGGGATCGTCCACTGTCAGAGCAGCGTTGCGGGATCGGGCCGGGGGCCTCCACCGGGCAGTGTTGTGGGATCAGGCCGGGAGCCTCTACCGGGCAGTGTTGCGGGATCGGGCCGGGGGCCTCCACCGGGCAGTGTTGTGGGATCAGGCCGGGAGCCTCCACCGGGCAGTGTGTCGATCAGGCCGGAGTCTCTGCCTGCTAACAGTACTTCCCTTTTCAGGCCAGCGTCGGCCCTTTTGCAGAACAGCAGAGGACGTGTTTAAAATTTAGAAGAGACCTATTAGCGCGGTCCTTCTTGAAGACAAGCAGGGGACTCTTTTGCACGCCAGTGCGGGGTCATTCTCAGCAGGAGAATGGCGTTGACAGTCGGAGGCCAGAACAGCAAGAAACACATTTTACACACAATCAGGGGCCCATTTACCGGTCAGCGGAGGGGCCTCCGCGATAATGCGGAGGGGTCCCATACCTGGCCCTCCTCTACAGAGTTCTCCTTCGGAGCTCTCCGGTACCCCGCCCCCCTATCTTCAGGTCGAGCCGGCTCAGACCCGGCCAGGGGGTGCCCGGAAAGCGCCGATGTGGGAGCAAGTATTGGAAGCGTGAGGAGGACGGCGTGACACGTTCTCGAGCTCTTCTGACAACATGTCAGGAGGGTGGTGGATTACTGTCCCTCCCCGTCAGTGCGAGGGTTAACAGCCACCAGGATGCGTGGGCATACCGGCTTGCCAATACCAACACAACACAACGCTGGAGCCAGCACATGAGGCTCACCTCAGCTGCTGGCGGGACACCCGCACGTGAGGCTCACCTCAGCAGCTGGCGGGACACCCGCACGTGAGGCTCACCTCAGCAGCTGGCGGGACACCCTCACGTGAGGCTCACCTCGTCAGCTGGCGGGACACCCGCACGTGAGGCTCACCTCAGCAGCTGGCGGGACACGATGCCCGCTCTCAGCTGACTGCCATAACTCAGCCTTGCCTCGCCGTTGGCAGGGAACCCCGGATCCTCCTGAAAGCGAACGGGCAAACGGCGAGGGTGAATGGAGATGAATAGGTCTGATGCGTTGCGAGGAAAGCAAACGGCTAGAAATGAGATGTAATTCAAAGAACGTCCGCGACGACGTCGTCAGCAAAGCGCTCGTTTACTCCGACGGTACCATGGCAACCGACTGATGATCACGCAGTAGGCACCATTCTCATCGTACAAGCTATTCCCAAGCGGCAGGATGTCTGTGCTCCCCCTGCCTGACGCGGGCCCAGTCCAGTCCCGGTCCGAAGGCTCACGTCGATGAATCAGTGGCGAATACAAGTCGCAGTTAGCCGCGGCAGCGCACCCGTCGGTGTCTGAAGGCTGCCGCTCAGCACCGCCGCGTCTTTTTCGGCACCGATCATTCGACCAGACTTGGCCTCCGGACCGCGCGGGGATCGCGCAGAGCCTGGACGCTGCTCTGGAACCCCGACCAGTGCCCGTAGGCGGCGCGGCTTCTGCTGGTTTGCGCCACTCCGAGCTGGCCACTACGGCTCGGAAGCCGTAACAGAGACAAATGGGAGGCGGAATGCTTCGCGCTGGCCATAGACGAAACGATTCTGCAGAATGGTGCCGACGGGCTCGAACAGCGTATCGGCCGCCGGAGGTGACGTGACGCGCACGTGAAGTCACGTGCGTGACGTGAGCACACGTCACGTGACGTGACGCGCGGTGAGCTGTCCCACGTTGCCGTTGAAGCACACTTAGTCCCCAGCTCACCGAGGCTGCTCTTCGAAGCCTGTTAACCCCGACAAGCGATGCCGCTGGTCGCTGATATCTCCCCTCTCCTCCTGAGACGTTCGTGTATTGCTCTCACGCCCAAAAAACCGCGGCAATTTGCCTCTGGCAAAGCTATCATTTCGTCATCTCGAGAGTTGCAACGGGGCTGGCAAAGACGAGTTCGATGATGATGATGATGATGATGAGGATGTTGATGATGATGATGATGATGATGACGAGCTCGATGTTGATCTGTGCAGGCGGCGCTGCCGGTCAGGCGGCGCGTGAGGCGTGAGACGGTGCTTCAGCGACAGGCCGTGGGTCTACACAACAGCAGGCGTAGACGCGGGCCTCTTCGCTATGCCGCTGATAGTCACACGACGAGTAATGATCAATTCATGAATTGAGCAGCCTCCGGATCGGCAAGAAACTCCCAGCCGGGGATGTTTGGCGCGTTTTTGTTGTTGTTTGTCTCTAATTGCACGCAAGTAGTTGTTTGCAAGCGATTTATCGATCAGGTGATTCGGACGAGGTGCTTTCAACGGGTACTGTTCAGTTAGGCTCCATGTCATGTGTTTTAGACATGGTACATCTGCAAGCCTCTTGGCATACCCTGAAAATAATGCACATAGGCATTATGTTCAGGGGAAATGCTGCAAACAAGCGCTATGGACCAATTGGACAAAAGCTTCGAGGCAGCAAATATCTTAGGGTACATGATAACGTAGATAACTCTCCTTTGTGGCATTTGCGAGTGCTACTAATCATAACATGTTCAAGAGCAAGCAGGTTTAAAATGCGTTTGAAATAGGAAAAATGTGTTTGAAACATAAAAACACCGAATATCATACACCTTTGATAAACCTGTTACGAATGTGTTTTTGGTTTTTGATTTTTTGCCTGAAGTTGTCCGTTCCGTTAGCTCAGTTGGTTAAAGCGCGTGCTTTCCGATCCACCCACCCGTGGCGGGATGGGTTCGAGTCGCATTAAGCCTTCGCTATTTGCTTTGACAGGTATGGCCTGAGGCCGGTGGCAGCGGCCGCCCTGAAGGTCAGGTGACGTCAGAGAGCAGCACGGACCGTGTCGAGTATTGTGGCACGTTCGACTTTCGCCACCAAATTCTGCGGCCGGACTGGAATTGCGCGACCGTATGGTAGAGGTAAGGACTCGCACAACAATCACTGTTTAGCGTTAGCTTTGTCTCCAGAAATCCTTCTACTCAAAAAGATAAGGATAAAACCTTTACAAAATCTAGGAAGCAGCGTGGCAGCAAATGTCAACCGTTGCCGAAGCGCAGCTGTGAACATTTTCGGAGCGCTGTGGTCCGGTTTGCTGGAGGGGGTACGGGGGTCAGTCGAAGTTGGATTCGGTCGGTTGGTACGGTCACATGACGCCGGGCTGAATAACGAAAAGTTAAGCTGCGACTGATCGACTAAGTTCTGCTTCGGCGATCCGGGTGATAACCAGCAGTACTCGGTCACCTTCCGTCGCCACAGGTCCCCGTCGCTTCCCACCGGCCGCCATCGGTCTCCATCGGCCCTCATCGGTCTCCATCGTTCAGTGCAGCGTTCTTCCGGCAGCGGCAGGCGCGCCATCGGCCCAGCAGCGCCTTCCCCTCGCCGACGCCGGCACGCGGGCCGCAAATGAGGCGGCAAACACCCCCACTGGCCAGCAGAGACGCGCGCGACGATGGCGCCGGCGCCGGTATTGTGTTTAAGGGGGGGGGGGGGCGTCCGATGGCTGCAGAAGACACGAGGAAGAGGGAGGGGGTGTTCAACAAAAGCCAGGGCGAGCACGCTCTCTCAATGGACGATGCCGGGTGAGAGGGAAGGGAAGGGGAGGGGGTGGGGCGGGAGGGTGTCCGGCAATATCCGGCAGATAGGAAGCGCGAGTCATTGACCTGTTCCGTCACATCTGATCGACAGGGCTCTTGAAGACGACAATGGCTCCGGTGATAGTGCGAATGATGGACCGACGTCAACCCCCCCCCCCCCCCCCCCCAGCAGCTAGCGCGAGGAAGGATGGCTGACCAAGCGCACCAGTATGCGGAGGGCCATAGAGCCAGCAGACGACGCCTAAAAATAGCATGAATGGGCTTAAAGGAAAAGCGTCAACGGTAAACAAATCCTAAACACAAGCAGCCAAGCAATTCCAGTGGAACTTGTAGGGAACGATTTCTCGCGAGCAATTTCTTCTCCCTTCGCGATTTCTCTGGCTTAACGAGGACAATAATCGCTGAATGCAGCCAGATTATGTGGGGCTGTTCGGCAGCGCAGCTTGTCAGGCAACGAATGTGCGGCTTGTTGGAGCTGAACAACCGTCGCTCTCCAGACGGGACGTCTGAGAACTCACATGGTTCTCGTTGGGTGCCGAGTCGCGAGGCCCACTGTCGGTGCGCGCTTCGTTTCCGTTCTCGCGGCCTGGCAGCGGCGTGCTGCACTGAAAGAAGAGCACATCTGCTCGAGCAAAACACGGCGACAATGTAATTACGGTGTTTGCTCACTCACGGCGACGTGAAATAAGTCGTAAAACTTGCACAGACGGAGAGATGGAGATTACGGTGGAGATTACGAGATTACGATGGAGAGAAAGCGGTAGGACATGACAAAAGCGTGCGTGCATTTGGTCACAGAAGAGAGCGAGATGATAAGCTTGTTTTCGCTGCTACACTGCGAAGCCACATCACCCAAGCGTTACACGCACTCGGGAGGGGGGGGGGTCAAATTGACCCCAAAAGGTTTTCCAAAATGGTTTTCGAACAGCGCGGCGTAGCCGCGCCAAATTCTGCTTACCTGTAGACAATTGAAGAACGGATCATTTGGTATCCCAAAATTGGATGTACCTTGTAAGGTCACTGACCTACAGCAGCTCAAAATCAGGCTATGAAATCAGCGAGGTCACACTTTCTTCGGAATCGTTTAATCTGATGCAACAACAGAGTGTTAGACAAAGTCATACATCTCCGAGATACTTTCTTGGGCACCAAAACTATTGGATGAACAACTTCCATCAACCTAGGGACTCTAGGACCCATAGCAACCCTAGGCTAGGGTCAGATATGAAGGTCAGACGAAGATCAAAACCAACCCGTTTTATTACTCTGGGGTTAGCTGTAGGGGAGTGCCTTATGCTCATTTCGAATTTAATGATATCAGTAATCGCATTATGCATCTTCCATGCATCTTTTAAAGTTCAGAAAATGTCACTGACCTGAAAGAACACAGGCAAACATCTTGCTTTTAGGAGCATACTGCCTAGCGTAACCTTTGTCGCTTATTCAAATGCGAAATTCAAAGCAGTATTGTATAATTTTGGTCACCATGACCTTCAATGGTCACGAACCTTAAACCATCGTGCAACTTTTTGCTTAGAACAGGTCTCTAGGTTGTGGGGGCACTTTGGATGCCAGCCAGGAGTTTGACGTTGTGTGGTCTTACTTGACCTGAAAGTCATAAACTAGGAACCCCAAGCTTTGCCCTAACAGAGTTCACACACAGGCCAATACGCCCTGTGAATTTGGTGTCTCTAGCTTTCTTAGTTCCTGAGATCTCAGTGAGGTCAAATTGACCCACGAGAGCAAAGGGTATCCAACCGGCCCCCCGGGCACGTATTAAACAATGTCATCACCAGGCCGCTTATTAAGATGACACCTAGAGCACAGATTGTGCGCTGGAAGCCGAGGATTTTAGCAGCGGCATTTTTGCAGACATTTTATACGATCAGTCACGAGTCGAAGATTAGTTCTCAGAGCATGAGGAGATCCCAGCATGTCGAGAATTCAAAAGGTTTAATGCTGAATTTGGGCACCCAGGGTGGGGCGAGGTTCTCCCCCTGATCCCATAACATCCCAAGCCCTGCGGTGAGCATTGCCGGGCTCCAATCGTCGAAATCCACCCGGTTTGGAGCGCCAGATCACCATGGGTCCAACCCACGGGTCCGCGCTAGCCCACGGGAGCGATTGATTGGTGGCCCATAGATCCATTCGCTCGAGCGACTTCCATCTCTCGTATCCATTGCGCGACACTGGAACGCAGGGAGATATCTGTGATGATGTTATTTGATCCTCACAGTCGCAGCTTGGAGCCTTGCTAATTCATTTCTCATCCGCTTCGGTAGCCTTAGTAGCCAACCAAGCATATGCGTGTCGCGGAGCTGGAATCTGATGAGCGAAAACCGGCGCATGCGGGCTGCTTTGGCGCGATCATTTGCTTTCAAATGGCCAATGACCGACGGGAACGAATCTATCCGCGTTAAGGTTCGTTACTGCAGAAATCGTGGAGTACTTTAAGGCCGCATATCTCTGCCGTCTGCCAGACTGGCACCCGGTCCAAAGGCTACGACCCACGACCTTAAGGAGAGATCACATCATTAAAGCAGCAGCTCATAACTCGCGATAATGCATGGGCGCCGCACCTGACCTTTCATTCCGCGGCGCATTAGCATCAGGATGTCTTATCGAGTTTGGCTTACAGCAGAAGTACATTTCCTTCTGCAACGCCAGCGCACGGGCTGAAATCTCGGCGGACCTCCCAGCTGGAGACTGCGGATCTCGTCTAGCTGCAGCGCACGCACCAGATGTGAGTGCGGTGATGGGATGCGGTTAGCGTGCTTGCGGATGCGAGAGCGTGCGAGAACGTGCGAGAGCGTGAGAACGAGAGCGGTGCGGTGCGAAACACGCTGCGACAAAGATCGCGCTTGTTTGCGGACGCACTCACGTCATGGGGTTAGTGCTCAATTTTGAGAAAGATGAGAACGGGGCTACTGTGCCTGAATCCACAGCAACTCACCTTGCAATGGCCTGCCATTGGATACGATGCCCGCGGTGGCGTGAGAACTGAGCTGGGGGGGGGGGGGGGAGATGAGCCTCCCCCAGGCTGCTGAAACTTTTGTATTGGCTCTATGGGCATTGGTTGAGAAGAAACTAACGAAAATGACGGCGCCCCCTTCCTTGGGAGAACTTTCGTTGCCCCTGGGCATGTGGATGCAGAAATGCATTCCAGCACCGCATCTCGCCATCCAGGTCACGGTTTCCGATTCCGCCATCGTGATCTAGGGATCCGGATTCCGTAAATCAGAGGTTCCCATACTAACCGGGATCCCCGTCTGAGAATTAGACTCAGACACATCTGGATGCAACTGAAAACACGTCCTCCAACGCAGCGCATTGCGCTCAGCTTGATAACGATGCGATGCGATCGACTATGGACGCGCAAGCACAACAAAACACACCAGACACCACCGACCAGGTACCTGCGGCGTGTTGGGCTTGAGGATGAAGAAGGTGGTGAGACCCGCCCTCCGCAGGAACGGCTCCCGCCTCTCGGCAAAGGCCGGCTCCACCTGGAAGGCGTCCCCCAGCTTTTCCAGCGTCTTGTTGGAGACGTGCACGCTCCTGCGGCAGGCGCGACGGCACGGTCAGGCTCCAGTGCCGTGTGGGGCTCGGTGCTCAGGTACAGAAATGAGGAGGAGGGGGGGGAGGGGGGGGAGGAAGTCGGCCCGGGGCGGACGACACGAACAGCGCATGAATTTGGGGCTCAGGATCTCGAGGTATTCTTTGATGATAGGAATATATGCGGATCCCAGTGGATCATTGACTACAGATGGAGTCGGAGTCTACTCCTGAATGAAGACAACGTTATCAGCAGGTTGAAATCCAGCCGATTGAAGGTGAAATTCCTTTCAAAATTTTGCGAGGCGGCGATGAGCTGGGCTCGTCTTCGTTATTATCATCATCATCATTTCACTGAAACACAGTTGCGATTTACAGCTTATGTTCCTTTTTACCTCTGTCAACTGTTATGCATACAGCAAATAGCACGCAGGTCGCATTCATATCTTATCATCAAAGCACATCCTAGACAGACTCTCGGGCACTCCGTGAACAGTTAATCTTTCAATTATCATCACTGAAAACGTCTCGAATCTTTTTCCAGAACAGAATGCATCTTCTCGAGTCAGTATAGCAGTAAAACCAAATTTGTGCCGCAGCAGTCGGACTCCGTTGAAATCGACCCCATGTGCTGTGAGCTCCCGGGCGAATTCATTCCTGAAGACTCGGTTCAGTCTCAAGTCTGGACCACTGATCGTGGAGTCCTATTTTGAATTCGGTCGAAAAACGATGACGGAGCACCGCTGTTATGACCTTTGGTGCGGGTGTCCCCCGGCGGATTTTCTGCTCGCACGTCTCTATCTGTTGATAATCCGTCTTACCTTTACGGGGACGCAACAGACGCAGTGTAGCATAGTTATGGCACACTGCATAGTTTACCTTCGGGTGTTATTTCGCTGCAGCCGAGCCCAAAGTATGCACCTCCCTGCGCGCCGCGAGGGGAGTCTTCCCTTCCCCCTCCCCCCACGTGACCCGACGGGCAGGGCCGGGGCTGTGGTCACCAGATACAACCCCTCCCCGAGGGCAGGCCCACACCCACGACGCTGGAGTTCAGAGAGCGCCGACCACTGGCCTTCGTGGCCCCGAGGGGTGCAGCTAGACCAGGCTTGCGAAACACGCTGAGGGCGCGGGAGCAAGCCGAGAACCGTCTAGCCAGGTCCGTGCCAGTGGGAGACGTGTGTGCGAAACCCGACAGGGGATCTCACCAGCTGCGTCAAAGAAGGACGCTCTTCTTGCTTGTCACAGAAACACTAGCAAATGCACTCCAACCGGCGGTGAACATTTCTTTTTTGTCACTTCAAACAACATGGCGTTACCGTCTCCAGCGAAGCGACGCTTGCAGGAGACGCCACGCAGCATGGCGTTACCACCAGGTGCGCAGCAACGCCTGCAGAGTTTCGGTGCGATCGAAAACTGTTCTCGTAATCAGCCTCGGTAAACTGGGAAGCATACAACTTTTCAACGCCATCATGTTGACTACATTAACGATGTAGCAATGGGAGTGAACAGTGAAAACAGGGAATTAACGATGAATATCATGAGAGCCGGGTGATGAAGCCGTTTGCGGGGACATCGGAGCCGACTGGTGGCTTGTCCACGGCGGCCGACACTGCTGGTATCCCCTGAGCAGAACTACTTCATAACGACAAGACGGGCTTTGTGATCGAGAGATTGGCCACACTGGCCTTATCTGCCTCACTAGGCCAAACACGGCGGGGGCAGTCGCTCGCGAAGTACACGGATATCACACGCTCATTGAAAGCTAGTACCCAGAGACGCAGCCCCCCCCCCCCTCCAGCCCCCCCTTAGGCCCGAATTCTTCGTTTATCTACATAGGGGGCTCCCAACAGAAAGTTAAAAATCGGCGTCATAAGGTAACCAAGCCTCAATCCCATTCGCTGCATGGAGTACTCCCGGCGTCCCTGACAATACCTCCCGGCGACCCTTTCATCCCGGACGGCAATAGCCACCTTTGCGGTTCCCGGAATCCCACTCCACCGCGTTGAAATCCTCATCTGTTGAATTGTCAAGCGCTTTCCGGTGTCTGGTCCTCACTTAAGATAAATCCCGACGCTCTTCTCCCCAGAGCGCGGCGCCGTGCCGTGTGTTCTCAGCTCAGCAGGACGGCCGGGAGCCGTCCCATTTGGCGCGCGCATTCCCCGGGGACGCCCTCGGCCTGGCGCGGTTGTCAGGGAACCTGACTCACGGCAAGTGGCGCCGTGCACCGAACGCGCCAACAATTCAACGAGACACATCCTGGCTCCGACGCAACAACCGGATGACAGACGGCGTTGCGCTGGAAGGTGGGGGTGTGGGGAGGGGGCGCTGACGTTAGCACACTGTTGCTCCCCCCCCCCCCCCCCAGCCGTATTACGTCCGAGGAAGTCCCAGAAGAGTTCTCCAAAGCCGCACTAGCGGCAGCGGCACTCGTCTCAGGTGAGGGAATGTGAAAACCACCACCGGCCGACGGGGTTCTCGTGTGAGAACGTGCACTGGGCCCAGCGCCGCTTTATTTATCGTTCTCAGAATCGCTCGCGAAAGTGTCACGGTTGACACTATTGGCCAAACACCCACAACATGCGGTGTATTGCCCGATACAATACAGCAGAAGCCCCTGTTGGGGAAGATCACGTTCCTTGTTTCGGTTGGCCACCCACAATATCAGCCACCTTTCATTTACTTCTCGGCATCATAGCTCAAAATGTCTTTGAGAGAGCGTTCCACATTCGTGTGGGGTCTTGATCTGACATAGCCATGTTGAACATCATTCGGTGTGGTTCCCAGCCCTGCCCTTCTTAATACCTAAACCCCTCTAGTCTCTGAGCTAAACGCCAACAAAGATGTGCATACTTTTTCACGCAAAGTTCTTCAGGTCACCCAGGCATCCATGACGTTATAGTGATGTCATTAAAAGCCTATCATTCTACTAGCCATGCAGAGATCAATGCCAATATGAATATAATTGTCAAGTCGTTCATATCTGACGTTTGTGAGCACGATGTCTACATATAACGGCCATCAATTGGCCCTCAATCAATGTTGTTCAAAGTACGGTGATACAATCGAACAACGACGTATTGATGAGAATATTTCCTAAACAGAGAACTTGTGTTGCCTACAGCAGTCTTTTCCACTAAGAAGTGTGCTATAATATATATATATATATATATATATATATATATATATATATATATATATAGGCGAGTTCATTTCATCATGTTTGATGTTTGCTTCAATATCTTTAAATGTGGAACATTCTCTTCAAATAAGCCCATGACATATAACCTTACGGTACCAAACCAACCCAGGCTCAACTCTAGAGAGAGGCGCACAGGTCTCCGTAATTAGGAATGCTTGGATAAAAAAGAATTCTCGAGTCCCAGTGCGGCCGTTTAGAGAGTTTTGGCTTTTTAAACTTCTTGAGGCGGTTCTGGAGTGCTTTTGAACTTTGTTTACAGTTCCCCAGGAAAACTTCAGACGCATGATTAGAGTTGTGAGCTAAAATATCCGAGAGAAAAATAACTAAGCAGCGGCAGTGGAGAGAGTCATAAAGGAAGCCAAGGAGAAAGACAAAGTTAGGGCGGACTGGATGGAGAGACGGATAGAGAGTGAGGTGGGGAGGAAGAGGGGAGGAAAGTGAGGAGAAAGGAAGAAAGGGATGAAGGGAGGGAGAGAGAGAGAGAAAGGGGAAAAAGGGAGACAGGAAGAAAGGAAGGGAGGAACGAACGAAGGAAGAAGAAGAAAGGAAGGAAGGAAGAACAGGTGGGGAAGAGACCAAGGAAGTGATACATGCTGTACCAGACCGACAGACAGACAGACAGACAGACAGACAGACAGACAGACAGACAGACAGAGAGAAAGGCAGGTAAACACTCAAACAGACAGAGAGGAAGACATGTAAACACGCAGACAGACGGACAGAAAGGCAGGTAAACACGTAGACAGAAGACGTTACCGACCCTGGCTTGCCGGAGCTCTCCATCTTGTTGGCCAGCTCCACGTCCTTGCTATACACATCAAACTGCCACTGCTTCTGACCCATGACTCCGGCCAGAACTGCGCCGGTGTGGATGCCGACCCGCATGTCCACCGTTGACCGCGTGGACTCGCGCACCGACCTGTGGACGAAAATAGAGCTGCGCACCCACGAAAATAAATTGCTTTTGCCTAGACTTCGTGCTGAATTACCCTGACCTAACTTTTTTGTTGGCGACTAGGTCTATCACACAGCACAGACGATAACGTGGTGAAGGGGTGCTCTGATGCAGGCTGGTAACCTTTGTGTTAGAAGGCTCGAAAATAGATGTTATTTGCGGTTAGATTGACCAGAGACTTTCCTGCATACCGGCTATAGACGCAGATTAACGTACGGAGGGACCGTTTCCCTGTCTCCGCCGAGACAAAGCTGGTATTACCCTCGTTCGCCGCATGGCGAACGCCCACACTACAGCGGGATTTCCACAAGCTTCCCACGAGGGATCGTCTGCAGGCGCGTTTACACAACTGTACGTATATCTGCAGGCAGTCACGCACCTGCGTCCAATACAAACCTCAGAACAATGTTAACATAGTGCAAGCGTGTCGCAGTCAGATGCGCAGATAATGAGTGGGCGTACGTTTGCACAGTTTGTTTAAATAAAACTGTGTGAACGCAGTAAAGGAACGGAATACAGCACTGCAGTATTGTACGGAAGACTCAATAAACCAGAACTACGTGACAAGTGAGGGTTTGGTGGTGGGTCAAACACGCACACACCCGAAGTATTCGTCGGCGTGAAACACGGCTTGACCCTCCATTGCAGGGCACGGGACGTGTCTCTGAAACAGCGCATGTGCTTGGCTCTACGTTTTGCATGGAAGGGGAGAGGGACGATAGAGCGTAACCGTAGCATATGAAGGGACTTGGACTTTGGACTTTGGACCATGGACTTTGAACTGCGTAATTTCCCAGTCGAGTGTGGCTGCAGATTACGGCTTAGTCTTTAGAGACAATGTTCTGACAGGGTAACCATAATAAAAAATGTCTGACACGGTAAACAGGAGAGGGCATCTCGTTCGTGCGATGAGTATGTACCCGGGGGTAGGGGTCGAAAATTGCGAGCAATGCGTGACGTAATTTATCAACGTGTCCTAGAGCTTGATAAATGGGAAAATAGAGGCGCGGAAGGTGGAATGGTACCATCCCAGTTGTGTCGATTTCATACGGCCTCTGCCTATGGAATTACCTATACCTATGGAATTACCTATTACCTATACCTCTGGAAAATTCAATTCGGAGTTCCTGCATTCCACAGAATGCAGCTCCAGTTCCATACGTTACGTTGGTGTGGTGTGATTGTGCGGGTGTGCGCCCCGGCTACCAGTTGGTCGTGTTTTGGGAGGGGGCGCCTGGAACTCGTGAGAGCCGCCTCGCCGGCGACGGAGTCATGGGACGGCGGCTGCGCTTCCCACGATGTGCTTTTAGGGCCCAAGAAGCGCACCCGGCGGCGGCGGCGGCGGCCTGTCCCGGAGGCAGCCTCGCTGTCTTCCGAGCTCTACATCTGACTGGGTGCCGGGAGGCGTCACGTGACCGCGGGTCTCCTGGTTCGCCGGGGGTCAAGGGTCGGCCGCTGAGGCGGTGGCAGGGACCCGACACTCGCAGGCGCCAGTCGATTTTCGGACGGGTCCAGGCGTATACACGCTACGTTCTCTTACAGCTGGACATTTTACATGTTTAAGTATGGTGAGACGCACTAAATATGAATACACTAGTCCATTGACAGTAAAAGATGCATCATGTCCTAATGCATGGAATGACATTTGTGTTTCGTTCATAGACCAGTACTAATAGTGTAGGTTCTATCTCCGTAGCATGATGAGACAGCAAGTCATATCCTCGGAAACCATGAACAGGATGTGGGCCACAGCTATCAGTGTTGTCATTTTGACTGGTTTGGGACAATATAAAAATGGTGTAAATCCTAATATGTAATAATATATAATATATGATAAATGTATAATGTATAATACATATCTATTATATAATAAATATATAATAATAATAATATATATTGATAGGCGGTGATTAGGGCTGCACGGGTATCAAGACCAGTTTGTCTTGGCCGAGCTGGAAAACGTTGCATCAAAACCTAAACCTGCACAAAATGACTCATGACGTGCGTCGCAAGTCGCATGCGCTGTCACAAACTTTGGACAACCGATGGGCAAATGTCATAGTGTGAGACGGAAGCGATCGCCATCGTAGCTCGGTCCATCATTGGTGAGAACCCTCGCCGGTCTGCATGGCTGGCACAATTAGCAGTGCATCGTTCTCCGACCAGACCCCACCCTAGCTCTACCCACGCGTAAAAAACCGCGGTTGCCATCGCGACACCCAGCGCAGACGCCATTGGCCCAGAAGGCCCATGCGCCGGCCAATCAGCCTGCGACACTCACTGAATAGCAGTGACCATGGACAGGCCCATGTACACCGACTGCACGGCGTGGTCCTCTCGCTCCTCAGGACATCCCGAGATGCAGTAGTAGCAGTCGCCCAGGATCTTGATGCGCAGCTGCTTATATTTCTGAAACAGGGGCGCAGGTGAGATAATGCCTTGACCTTGACAAAGTGACACTTGCGTATTCTGCACCCAAAGACAATAAAAAGTGCGATGCTTTATAAATTGTTAATAATCAGCAACTACATTCCGCTGCTGGAACACACGCGTGTAGTAAACACCCGGCGACATTCGGATGCTCGGTCGGCGTCGACCCGATCAACGCCCTTGCCGGAGCGCTCGGCCACCGGCGTCAGTCCGGACCGCATCAGGCGCAGCGGAGCGCTCGGCCACCGGCGTCAGTCCAGACCACCTCAGGCGCAGCGGAGCGCTCGGCCACCGGCGTCAGCCCAGATCGCCTCAGGCGCAGCGGAGCGCTCGGCCACCAGCGTCAGCCCAGACCGCCTCAGGCGCGGCGGAGCGCTCGGCCACCGGCGTCAGTCCAGACCGCCTCATGCGCAGCGGAGCGCTCGGCCACCGGCGTCAGTCCAGACCGCCTCAGGTGCAGCGGAGCGCTCGGCCACCGGCGTCAGTCCAGACCGCCTCAGGTGCGGCGGAGCGCTCGGCCCACGCCGCTTCGGTCAGCACGTGCGTACAGCGCTGACGTCACGGCCCGGGCGGAGGAGGCGCTGAGCAGGCACCAGTGGCCAGCTCAGCTGACTCACTACAGCGGTCTGGCTCTTACGTCAGCAGGTGTGACGTCGCGGCAGAGCTGGCGCCGTGCCAAACTCTACCCAGAAGATCTAGCAGGATCCGAGCGATCCGGCAGGAAGCAGATGTGTTCAAATCTTAGCGACGGAAAATGTCCTACACTTAGTTGCGGTGACGCTCACCGCTCTGTGGCAGCCAAGCAGGATAGCGATCCTGTTATCAATATTCAATTGCGTACAAATCAAACGTATTTCTAGTGCTAGTTTACCATTGTTCGGGCCTATGTAACTTCTTGAGCAATGCAATCCCAAGCAGCATTGACGCTTATGAAAACATATTGAAGATTGTGTAGGACCTCAGGATGGTGTGTCGGTTTCAGGACCATACAAAAAATGTTTCTGGCGGTGTGATTTCACCATTCAACCAAGTCAACCAGCTCCCTAGCCACACACAGCCTCATGTCGCTCGTGTCGAAAAAGTCCGCTCCGAAGGTGCACGACATCGATGGCTGGGAATATGAACGGTGGGCCAGGCCGTTGAAAACAAATGTTTCAAACGGCTGGTGAGAACACTAGACGCTATGTATTCCAAAATACCATAAATATTATGAAATTCTGCAAATCGGAGCTGGAGGTGGCCATCGGCTGGAAGGCATTCACCTAATTTTTGTACAAGTGTTTATTTCAGGTATAAAACTAATCCGCAAAATCGTTTGAAAATGCATTTAAAGGCTATCCGAACGCTGCTTTAACACACGTTCGGGTGGGGGTCAACAACCCGTCCCGCTGCTGCGAACGCAGCCTGCCTGACAAGCTGCACTCCTGCCTACACGGCCTAAGTATGCACTGAGCACGGCGTGTCATGTGACCCGCAGTCTGCAGTCTGCAGTCTGTGACTCGCAGCCTGCAGCCTGAGGTCTGTGAATCGTAGTCTGCAGTCTGCAGTCTGTGACCCGCAGTCTGCAGTCTGCAGTATGTGGCCCACATTCTGCAGCCTGAAATCTGTGACCCTCAGTCCGCAGTCTGCAGTCTGTGACCCGCAGTCTGCGGCCTAAAATCTGTGACTCGCAGTCTGCAGTCTGCAGTCTGTGACCCACAGTCTGCAGCCTGAAATCTGTGACCCGCAGTCTGCAGTCTGCAGTCTGTGGCCCACAGTCTGCAGCGCTGTGACCCACAGTCTACAGTCTGTGACCCGCAGTCTGCAGCGCTGCGACCCACCCCGTGCCGCAGTGCGCTGCGGTCCGGTTACGACCTGTTGTGACCCGTCGATGAGAGATCGGTGTCCCTTCATGACGTCAAGAGTTTGCGTCGGGCAGCTGGTGCGGCCGCCATCCCATCACATTTCTACTTTCGACGCTGAGCGATTCAAGCCGCAGCTTTGTGACAAAGTCCCTCAGCAATGTTTGCGAACACGGCTACAAACGTGGCTCGCGGGTGGACCCTGCATTCAATTGGCGGGATGGCTGGCCACACTAAGCGTTGGAAACACGGAGTTAAATCCGAGCAGCTGGACGCTGCCGACTGCATCTTTGGAGCCATTCTCGCAACGCGCGTGATGATGTTAATCTGGAACCAAAGAGGCGCTCGTTAAATTCATTGTGGGTCACTAAATGCCTGTTCGGCTGGAGAGACGTAGGTCACCCGTGTTGTAAGAACGGCTACAAAAATGCATTCCACAGCGCCCAGCCACTCAAAGACTTGTCTCCGTCGAGCCAACACCCAAGCCCGGCGAGTTATGTAGCGGAATGAACCCTGGACTCGTCCGAAACACACTGTCATGGCTTTGCTCGCTGATCCTGTCGCGGACACCCGTCAAGAAGCCGGGCTTTCACCGGCTAGCTGGCGCCGAGCGAGCCCACCCCAGCTCAGGCCTCTTCCAGCGCCGCTGACTGCCGACCAGCTGTGCTGGCACTGCCCGTCCGTCGGTGCTGGGCGGCAATTGACGCCGGCGCTGAGCGCTCCACTGAGCGGAAGGGAACGGCGCAGCGGGTCTGCTCGCCGACGCGCGGTAGAGCGTGAGCCGGCGCGAAATTCCGCCAATGTTTGGCCAGCGCTCCCACGCTTCAGAGCTGGGGACGCAATTTCGGTGCTCCGTAACTGTTGAGCAATTCGCCCAGGCTCTATAGCGGCTGAGTGTTGGCCGGCTCGCAACGTGGACTCGGCCCGGGAAAGTTCGGTCCGTTTGCCTTTCAAGATCTAAATTCGGTTGGGACAAAAGATCCGACTTTTAAAGGATTGTGCCACCTTTCGGGTGAAGTGGCAACTTCACACGCATGCCATGGTGTGATGAGCTGGATTTGGGCTGCCAACCTACTTCTGAAATTATTTCTTGATAGTTCAAACTTTTTATTTAGAACAGCCATTGCCACGGAATGATTCCGTCGGGTTCCCTGTTAACCACAAGATTTTAGCCACATGCGGGTCACGTATTCGTCCAGTTTGGCTGCGCCAAAACTCCTCTTGCCATTCATCGCATGACAGCATCTAAAACCTTGCCACGATAAAAGCGCACGTTCCAAACCCATACAATCCAGGGAACTATTGCACACTTCGTCTTCGGCGCGTGGGAAAAGCTCAGTCTATCGTCAAAAGCGCCAAAGTCTCGCCGCCAACTATGCGGCGAATTCGTTGGGCCGTTCAAACTGATTGGCTGGCTGCCGGACGCTCACGTTGGCCGCCATGTTGGAAGTCAAATGGCGCCGTCTACAACTTCGACCAGTCTTTAATACATGAGATATATCCAGCATGAGTTACTTGCTGTATAAGACAGCCGTGCTTTCCAGTGCCGACACTGTTAACTGATCGCGGCGACGGTAGCAGTGGGTTATGAGTGTCGCCTCACTTTACCTCCCTTTTCTTTCCCCCCCCCCCTCCTCTTCTCACCGGACGATGACCATCACCAAACTGCTGTACCCCCAAATGATGTTCTCTGCAACCTGCTTACCTACCAGTCTCCGGTAACAGCATGCAGGTCAGTTCTATCAAGATCTGAGGTAGCTTTTCGGCTGTCAAGCACATGTGTGACGTTACTCAGTGCTTGTTGTGGCACATATAAGCACTGCATATGTGGCGACCCAAAGACATAAACGTGACGTAAAATTAAAACTAGCCGTTTACATTCACGGTAAAGTATTGTCGTGATCGCCTGCTGAAAGTGTACTCCACTGTTATACCGCAGGTACAGACACGGGATCAGCTTCAATCATCTAGGTCAGGGCTACAATGGCCAAACGACCGACGCAAGCGTCTCAGCTCCGTACTTCAGCATCGTCTCCGCTGGCCGACTGAACCATGCAGTCCCCCGCCGCTCCTCCTCCCCCTATTAGTGAGAGAGGAAGGCGTCGGCCGCTGGAGGGGTGTGACCCCTGCAGGCTCTCGTCGGTGGACTCTGTGGGCATTGATCGCGACCTTTGACACAGCCCGAGACTCCGCACTGGGCGCGCCCCGCCGCGTCCCCTGACAGCGCCGCCCCTCCTCCGGGTACGCCCCTCCGGAAGCGGATCGACACCGACCGGGGCCGGCGCTGGGAACACTGGTCAGCGACAGCGCAAGAGTCGACGCCGGGGATCCAGTTAGCCTTATTGGCCCCGGTAATGACGACCAGATTGAGTTATATGAGCCCGGAAAGCCCAGCCGAGTGTGCGCCTGGTCGGTTGCGATTGCGCCTGTCGGGCGCCCGCGTGCGGTAGGCAAGCGGGGAGGTCGTCCGGGGATGGAACGTTATGCTTGTATCTGCGGCCCGGACTGAGTTGATGACGTGACTGCGCTTGTGTAGAGCGTACGTCAGCGGACCATTCGGCCGGCGAGCTGCCGTTCTCTTTGCACTCCAACTTCAGCTATCCTGCTCTAGCAAAGGAGAGATGGCAGTGGCCGCAGGCTCCAATGCTTATCCATGGACCCCGTCCGCGTGGGGCTCATGCGGATAATCGCAGCCTTTTTCTAGCACTCGGGGACTGAGACATACGTGGATGCTCATGCCCCAGCCACGCCATCCCTGAATCGTGATGTAATAATGACACTGGAAGTCCGTGTTGCTAGGGACACGCTGCAAGCAAAGCTTTTCGGCACCTTCGCATCAAATGAATTCCAGCTTTTATACGTATGTCATTCCTGAGACCACGGCTCACGCTAGGCGTACGGCGTGAGCACTGACTCTTGATCCGATCCTGAAATACGGTTCAACAGACGACACTTGACGCCGAAATTTAGATGTGCCGATCGACTTTGTCCATCCCGCCCTCTGACCTCATATGATCCTTAACGTGGCCGCTGCGAATGACTGCGTATCATATCAACCCGGTCAAATACCGAGCTCTAGTAACGACTCAAACTCTCACCCCGACACTAGAAGGATCAGGCAGGCGATCTAGCAGAATG